CCACTGGGATCAGAGCCAGTTCACCTTCAGTCCACCTCTGCCTGAGGCTTCCACAAGTGCTCAGCCCACACAGGAGCAGTTCCTGAGCTGAGTCAGGTCACGTTCAATAGCTGCAAGTAGCAGGTCTTCGTTAACCTTGCTGATTTTTAGCGATAGATGAGCTGGCAGATGGGAGACTGTAGAAATATTTGTTCCAGCAGCTGCAGGGGGAAGAATACATGTGAAAAAAAGCTTTTATCTTTCAGTTAATAGATGTCTAAATGCCTTGCATACGAACAAATATCCATGGTATGTATTGCTGACTTAGACTTGTAAGATCCACAGTTCTCTCTTACCGTTTTCTGAAGTGCAGTGCAATTCATGATGTTATTTATTAGGACTAAGTCCTCCTTTTGAGAGGGTAAAACTCGAGAATTTGTTATAAGAAACCTCTCTCCTGAAAGCTGGACTTCATTTTTTTCCAATATGTCAAGCATGTTAATGAGTGTTGGAGGTAAAGCAGAATGCTGGGATGGAGAGAAGTGGAAAAGAACATTTTCCAGCCGCACCTCTGCTTATTTCATGGTTAAGTTATTTTGTATTAGCCACGGAAATTGCTGCCGTTTTGTGTCTGTTTGGTGAGGATGCATGCAGACTGCCCAATTAGCAAAAAATCAGAGAGAAATGACCTCGTGGCTTGTTTCTCAAGGCTTGATTTGGAGTTTTGGAAGCAGGAGGCTCTATAATACAGCTTCCAGTCAATCAGCCACAGAATTCTGGTTATTAGTGCCACAAACATAAAAAATTTTCCAAGTTGCCTGAGTTTGCTGGAGATGTGCAGGTGATGATAGAACTCCCTATCTGCTGGATCCTGCCTTAGCCTGCTGGCAGGCTCACTAGAGGCATGGAGCCAAGGCTTTGGGGAACAGCATCCATCTGACTTGGCAGCAGAAATCCTATTTCTGTGCACAGAGCAACAGGGGGACGAGCACTGCCCAGCACTCACTTCCTTGGACATAGTTGAATAGTTGTTCTGCAGTTGTGTGTTGGCTGTAGTGTGTGCCAGGTCCCTGAGGATTTGGTTTGTGTGCTGGCACAAGGGCCAGCAGAAGAAATGGAGAAACAATTGTCCCTTTCTTGTTGTGCACAGGCTGCTGTCACTTTGAGGGGGTCACACAGAGGAGCAGTAGGGGGGGATAATGCCCCGAGCACAGAGCAGGCTCAGGGGGACAAATGGTTAAGTGTAGCCTGTAGACCTATTTCTGGGTCTCTCATTTCATCATCTCACCTGTCAGCCAGTGGCTGTCATGGACAACCAAGATTTACCATGGCAGTCATTCTGACAGAGCCTGGTTTCACACAGTTGCTGTTTCCAGGAGAGGAGCAGGGTCTTGTTTCCCCCGAGTCCTTTTGCCACGGTGGTGGAAATGCAGAGCCAGAACTGTGACACCTTTTCTCAGCAGCTCTTAAGGTGCACAAGAACTTCCCAAACTTCTGCAAATGCAGCAAATTTCTTTTCACAGGATTTGGAGTTTGATTTTTGGACACATGTTCGACATGTGCAGTATTTTCCCTTCACCGCCTTCATAGGCAGTGCTGGGGAAGCGACCCAGGAAACAACTTCGGATGAGGTGCCTTGTGTGGCATCTGAATTTGTGCAGAACTGTCATTTACTGGAGTGTTCATCAGCACAGCACAGTCACAGTTCTCCAGCGACTTGGAATAAATAGGCAATAAGTTCTGAGCTGGTGTATTAGATGGGATGGAGCACAATAGGTGCTTGAAGTACTGTTTTATCACAGACTGTTGCCCGCTGTTCAGAGTCAGCAAAAACATTGCTGTTGATTTCCACGGGTATTTGATCAGATTGAGATGGAGTATAAGAGAACCTGGGGACTTGTGCTTCTAGGGGCATTTCTAGTGAAATAGCCTGGCAACCCTGCAAGCTTCAGGGGTAGGGGCAACCTTATTTCTAATTTCTGCATTTATTTTTCATAGGCTGCATCCTGCCTGATGTGTTTCCATGTTATCTAGGGTGAGGAGTGGTAAACAAGGCTGTGAGCACAGGATTGTCCATGATTCAGTCTGACAGTCCTAGTTCTGAGCACCTGGTTGTGTTTTCAAACAAGTTTAATCTGTTTAAAATTGCCTCTAAAACCAGCTAAGCCTTGACAAACTTGTACCAGAATTCTAAAGAAATGTAGAAATCAGTTAACATAGAAAATTCTCTTTGCTGTATGTTGGCCGGTTCCTGCTTTTCCCTGGCAGAGCTTGTCCTTGGAACGTGAGGAATATTTCAGCCCCTGTGGGGTCACAGCCAGGCTCTCACATCCTATGCTGAGGGAATGGCCACTTTTGTTCCTGCCCTGGAATTAGTGCCAGCAGGGCAGTCCTGAGACACACAGGGAACTGCTGTGTGCGGCTGCACTGGAGGAACAACCAGCTGAGCTCCCAGCAGCTCCTTGGCTGACCCGGCCACCACTCTTCTTCTTTTCCCAAAAGGGGAAAAACAAACACCAAAAAAGTCAAACTGAGGTGTCTTTGCTTTACCATTCCAGGCCCATGCTGTAAGCTTCCTTGGCTTAAATACATTGCTTTCTATTCCCAACATCCCTCAGCCTTCTGCCAGCACGTGGTGGCTGTTTTAAGTGGAAAAACAGAGTCCTGTTGTACACACACCTTTTTTCTTCATCCTGGTAAAATCTTCACTGGACCCTTCCTTGGACTCTTCAAATAGAGGTGGCACAGAATTGAATTGAAGAAATGTTCTTTACCAGTATTTGGTTTTATTTTATCATTGGTTGTCAAAGGAGCCCACACAGAAGCACTCCAAATCTATGGATAAATAGAGCATCGTGGTTTCAGGCAAGGACAGGCTGCACTTCAGTTTCCATGAGCTGAATTTATCCGACACTATCCCAGCCAGCAGCACAATAATCATCAGCTGTGGGGCTTTGCAAGGCAGTGGCATATTTAATGTTCACTAATTTCACAGAAGGATTTCTGGGAAGCAGCAGATGGCAGGAAGCCGTGGGCTGCTGCTGTGGCTGAGGGTGAGGAGCTTCCTTGGGAAGTTCTGTCCACAAGATTTGAGAAACCTCTGAGGGACCCCATTGCTCTGAGACCACCAGAACCAAGGATCTGTGCTGGAGGAGTGAGAGCTGTGCTCTACCTGTGGCTGCAGCATGCCAGCACTCATTCCTCTGAGTCACAGCAGGTTTAGGAGCTACACCGTGGTAAAGAGATGGCAAGTGGAGAGGATGGCTTTGTGTTTTCTGTCATCCAGCCATAAGCAGACAGAGGAAAGAAAGGCTTGAGTTGTTGTCACTGAGCTTTCCCCGTGGCTCTGTTAACAATTACCATTGCACAGATTGTAGGGAGAAAACATTGGATGAGGTATTCGAGGAGAGCTGGTCAAAGCTTTTCACACACTTCCCTCTGCTGCCAGCTCTGTTTGCGCTTTCCTCCCGTGCCACACGGGTGGGTTTTTCCCTCGTCGTGCCTGGAGCCTCTCCCACGCTCCAGAGCTCTTCCTGCGTTTCCGTGGCCTTTCTGCTGTGCTCCCTGTCCTTGGGCTCCGGGGGTTGGCAGTCCCAGACGACTTTCACATGCCCCGTTTCGCTTCCAGCAGCACTGCGGGGTGGGAAAAGCCTTCCCGATGCTCGAGGTTGCCGGTGCCGTGGCGGAGCTGGCAGAGCACAGGCTGTGCGTGGGCCCCGGAGCGCCGGCAGCTCCCGGGGCTGCCGAGAGCCGGCATCGCCGGCGGAGCTCTTCCCAGGGATTCCCAGCCTCGGGGAGGGGGGGATTTTCTACTGCGGAGAGGTTTTGCAGGGGGAGCGAGCCCTTCCCTGTGGCTTACAGCATCCTGGTCTAGTAGGAGGTGTCCCTGCACAGCAGGGGGATTTGAACTGTGATCTTTGTGAGGTCCTTCCCAACGCGAGCCATTGTGCGATGCTCCAAAGGAATGGGGAATTCAGGGAGAAAGGCTGCATCTAGCTCTGAGCTGGAAACACACGAGCACTCAGCTTTCCTTAATGCAGGAGCTCTCTGCCCCTCACCTGGAGAGCTCCAAACACCCGCACAGCTCCTCCGTGCTTTGATGCATTTGCTGCCTGTGCAAAGCAGGACCTGCAGCACGTGCAGCAGAACTTCTGACAGCCCCAGCACTCACACGGCTTCTGGAAATACGTGCTTTCCCTACGGATGAGCCCCTGGGGAGACATGAATCTTTCAGAGGCTTCATGCAAATAAAATGCAGCGTTTTACAGTCTTAGGCATAGCCTCAGGTTTCTCAGTTTTTCCTGACATAGTCCCAATTTTCTGCTCTCTTATTTATTTCTGTTAGTGAAGATGTTCAGTTCACACTTTGTTCTGCTCAATATAACCAACATAATCCTATTTTCTTACTACTTAACCAGATAATCAAGATGCCAAAATCATTTCTATAGCTTGGAAATTCCCTTCTTTTCTGCCTTAAAATTCTAATTGTAGTCATGTATGAACTTCTGGTTTATAATATGGAAAAACACGATTTAGTCCCCAGAAACGAAGAACATGGAATTATGTGCAGGGAGACTCACTGGAATAATAATAATATAATAAAATTTTGATCATTGTAGCAAAGATGTAAGCTAGAACTTACGTGTTATGTTCAGTGGAGGGAAAAAAGGCTCTGAGAATCTTGTCAGCTTTCTTTCTCCTAGAAGGTGAGGTAGGCAGACTTGGCATCTTTCCCACTTCATGGCTATGGAGTTGTTCCCCTGGAGTAAATTCTCCAGAGTTAGTCGTGTCCTACAGCTGTCCTCGAGCCAGGGACAGGGAGGGGAGCAGCACTGAGCTACAGGAGGTTGTGGTTACCTGCAGCATTAGGTGTCAGAGGATCCATACCTAGAGAAGCCACAAGAGAAGCAGCAGCTGCTGCCAGCAGGGAACTGTTGGTGGTGTCCAAGGGCGTCAACATCAGCTTCTGCTCAAACTCAAAGACAACAACCTTTCAACGCTGCTCCTCTGTGTCCCCACAGGTAAATACGTGTACCAGCCCATGACCCCCGTGGAGCAGCTCCCCAGCACCGAGATCCCCGTCCGTCCCCGGGAGCCCCCCAACACCATCCAGATCTCCGTGTCGCTCACCGAGCACTTCCTCAAGTTCGCTCCCGCGTTCCAGCCGCCGCTGCCGCCCGAGGCGCCGCAGTTCTGCACCATCGCCGACCTGTTCATCGACAACTACCGCGTCAAGTGCATCAACGGCAAGATGTGCTACGTGCAGCGCCAGCCGCCCGCCCCGCACAGGGCAAAGCCCGACGACGGCTCCGCCCGCAATGCCTTAATCACAAAGGAGAGCAATACACCAAAAACAGAGCACTGCTCGTCCCCCTCCAGCTCTGAGGACTCTGGCATCAATGCGGTGGGGGTTCACTACATGGAGTCTTGTGACGAGGACACGGAGGGGGTGGCCGAGCTGAGCTCAGAGGAAGATTACAGCCCGGATAGCAGCTGGGAGCCGGACGAATGCCCGCTCCTGTCGCCCTCGCAGTGCGAGATGGAAGTGATTGAGACTATAGAAACCACGGTGTGACCACACAAGTCGGCAGCGGCTCAGTCCACTTCTTTCTCAGTAATGTTGCTTTTGTAGTATTTCTATTTTCTGTTTTTTCTGACAATCCCTTTTTTCCGGTGCACTTGATATTTCAGATTCCTGTCATGGGAGCATGGTCACAGGACTTATATATGGTGAACTAGCAGCAGCCTGAGCAATTTTAACACGTTCTCAGCCTGATCAGCTCTCCCACGTCTGCACGTAAGGTAGTGACAAATCTTAAGACTTTTCTAGCAGAAATAGGCCCTTTTGTTCTTCTGGGTTACCCCACACACAACTTCTCACACGAGGACGTGCCACTCAAGATGTTTCCGCCCGTTGGGTTGTTGGCAGGGGTCCCTCAGAGCACGGGGGTGCACGCCTGGAGCAGCAAACCGAGGTGCCCTTAGACTTTCTCAAACAGCTGAACGAGGCTCCTCCCGTCTCTCTGTCCTGGCGCCTTGTCCGGCCTCTTCCCTAGTGCTGGTGCGACCTTTCCCCGAGGCTGTTGGCACCATGCTGCCAGCAGGGTGAAATGGCAGGCTAGAGAATGCACAAAGTGCCTCCAACTTTTCTCCAGGCTATGCACCGAGCAGCTGCTGAGGTAGGCCAGGCTCTGAAATCTCCTGAGAAGGCAGGTCTTGCTCTGGAGGGGGATGAGTTGCCTGAATCCAGCTGGTTCCTTTTCTCTGCCTGGATCTTGGGAAGGGGGTCTGGCTTTTGCAGGTGGGCAGGAGGGGGAGCAGGCAGAGGTGGGGCATGGCCATCTAACCAATACCACACTGGACTGGGGAGTACCAGGACAGGCGAAGGAAGCGACTACCTCCGAACACCCGCCCTCGGCTCCGCCTCTGCCTCCTCCTGGGCTCTTTGGTGCCAGACACTCAGGACCAAATGGCCTCAGGGTCTGCACTTGCCTGAAGATTAACAAAGTTCAAACAAAAAGAATTTTACCAGCCACACCACTGTGTCGGCAGAGCTTGGGGACAGTGTGGAGATGCCCCTGGGAGGTGGCCCACAGGCTCGGTGGCATGCGAGCTCATTAAAATACAGCCTAAGGTCATCCTAGCGGAGAGAGGAGGTTTTGGCTCTTGTTCTGTTGCACTCAGTCCAGGAGCAGGTTCAGAGCAGGGGTCCCTCACTCAGCTGGAAATGGAGCTGTCTCACAGGAGGTTCAGATTCAGCCCTGCTTGAAGGAAACAAAAATGTCGCTCAGATTCCAGGCAGCTCCACGGAGCCGGTAACTCCTGTGTTCCTGCAGCGTTACTGCCGTTCTTTGTGTAGTTGCTGTTTGCATTTCAGAAGTCCCTGGTGAATCCAAGGCTGTATAAACGTGTACAGTTAGTGACTGATCCTAGATTATAGTCTGTGCTAGAGGATGGCTCGTCTCTCACTGTATCCTGACAATTGTATTCCCAATTTTATACACTTTGTAATCAGTATCTTTAGAAGACATTAGGCAACAGTGTGTGTCTGTGCACATGCGCGTGTCTAGGAGTTTCCATGGGTGGATATAAAGTAATGCTGTACTTTTTAGACTAAGACTTTCAGACAAAAATAATAGGTTTTATAGTTTTGATGACTTACATAAAAATGTGCAATGCTTGTGAAACAAGGAACTTGGGCCATTGCATGAACAGATACATTCTCACAAGGCACCTGAAAATACTCTGTTTTTCTGAGGGCATTTAAACAAAGGCTGTAGTAAAACTAAATAGGATTTATTTCGTTTTTAAGGGCGGGGCTGTCTTTCTTGGCTAACTACAGTTTCTAACAACATTTTTGGTGTCTTTGGACCATTCAGACACATTCCATAGGTAGAAGAAAACATTATGTATAAACCTACAGCATTTATTCATATTTAACCTTTCAATTGTAACCTGAGTGGAGAGCCAAACTAGCTCACTCTCATGCCTGGCCTCTGAGCTTTCCTCCCAGAAGGAGGAAGGCTCTTCCTCCCCTGGGAACAGCTTCTCCTTCCCAGGCAGGATGGGTGGGCTGGTGCAGCACGGCCTCTCCCAAGGGCAGGGAGCTCCTCGACAGCTCTCCCTGGGGCACCAAGGGCAGGGCAGGTGAGCAGGACCCCCCTGCCCAGCACAGCTCACCTTGTTTGCAGGCAAGCAGGAGCCACAGCCCTGCCCGGGCACTGGCTGGGAGCGCGGTGACCTCGGGGGGTGCTGGTGGCAGAGACTCCACAGGGCCCACAGGGTCCTGTCCCCATCAGGATCCATTCTTCCTTAACTGTAAGTAATTAGCAATACCCACAAGCCGTGAGTGTCTCCTACCCAGGATTTGTTCAGATGTCTTAAGCACAATAAGCTGCCTCTTCCTTCTGTTGTTCCTGGAAAATGTCAGCGGCGCTCTGGGGAGTGCCGGGGCTGCTGGAGAGCGCTCGGGCAGGGCCCAGCGGCGGGGATCTCCTGCTCCATCACACACCCTGCTTGGAACGCTCCCACGGAGAACGGGGCTCCTTCCTTTGCACAAACACGGCTGTGGCCGTGTTGTTGCAGTCATGCCCTGAGCTGGCTGCCCCCCCTGCCAGGGAGAGGTGTGTGTATATTTCCTTTTGAATAAAATACTGAACAACTGGCCTTCTGCTTGTCCTAACTGCCTGTGTGCTTTCCATGCTAGAGAGAAGCATTCCGGGACTTCCAGCAAAGGAAGGGCTGCTCACAGCTTCACATGGCAGCCCCTGACACAGCCCCAGAGCCAGGCAAAGGGAATAACCAGGGGGAGCACACCAGGCCCTGGTGAGCAGCCTCATGGCCCAGCTCTGACTCACCTGGAAAGAGCTGCCCCAGCTGATATGTGGCCAAATTCAGCTCTCTTACTTACCTGTGCAGGTGTGGCTGCAGGCTGGACACATCCCATGGTAGTTCTGCTCATGGGCAGGAAGTGAGCACACAGGGCACCTCAGGCCCCAGGGTACAGGACACTGCTCCTGCCCAGGTGATTCCCAGTGCTTCCGTGTTCCTTAGAGGCAGCTGTGCTGCTCCATATTTGTGCCATTCCATATGAGCTCTGCACAGATCATCCACAGGAATTCTGTGTGCAGGGAGAGCAACACCCACCTGGTGCTGTGCTCTGGGAGGAGCTGGGACCCCGAGGGCACCCCAAAACACCCAAGCGACAGTGCTAAAGTGAGCAGGGGGAAGAGGACTCTGTGTGATAGCACAGAAATCCCACCAGCACTGGGTTGAGGTGCTGAGAGCAAAGTGCTAAAGGTTCTGTGACCATCAGTGCCCATCACACCCACCCTCTACCCCTTGCAGCCCCCAAGGGCCTGAGACACCTTTTTTACACACACACTCCTCCCACCCCCAACACAGGTACAAGGAGGTGAGAGGGGAGGTTTGAGCTTCACCCACAGGCCCAAGATGTATCTTTCTCTTACCAGCAGTCCATTCAGAAGTGCAGAAGTCACACAGGGAAGTTCAACCAAGGGCTTCTTTAATGGGTTGGTAGAACACAGCATGTGCAGGTCAGTTTGCTCATACAGGTGTCATTTCCTGCATTCCTTAAGCGTTCTCCAGATTTGCCCATTCTGTGCCCTCAGACCCCATGGCTACTGCCATGAGACAGCAGGGCCAGGCCTTGCCCGAACAGCTGCTTTTAGCAGAACACACAACTCAGGTGTGGACCCCAGCCACAGAACCAGCACAGCACAGGGACACAGGGCCTCTGGGACAGGACAGGCTCCTCCAGCAGGGCAGAGCTGATTTGGAAAAACTCCTGCTGCTGCCACGAGCCCCTGGGTCAGCACAGGCAGCCCTCCCTGTGCCTCAGCATGTTGGTGCTTGTCCCGGAGTTCCAGCTTCCAGCCCAGCTGCCCCACGACTGCCAAAGCAGAGCTGGGGCATCACCCAGCTACAACCCACCAGCACCCAGTGAGGGTCAGCACAGAGGGCTCAGGGAAAGGTGGTGTGGGGAAAAATCCCGTGTTGTGGTGGGAAGGCTTCCCAGCACCATGTCCTGGGAGCAGCCGTGGCCCAGCCAGGGCAGGAGCATTACTCTTCAGCCACTGGAGGGGGCGTCAGGTGCAGCTGGAAGTTCTCGTTCTGGAAGACGCTGCTGGTGGCCGGGTCCCCGTGGGAAACACTGAGCAGCCCATGCTTGTCACCGCCGCCATGGCCCCCGCGTGCCAGCTCCGTCAGGAGAGCCAGCTGCAAGGAAACACCCCTGGTCACCCCAGGAACATTCCTGCAGGGTACAGAGAGCCCAGAGCGTCACTGTGTCCCTGCTGCAGTGAGAGAAGCCTTAACCCAGGTAAAGCCAAGGCCAGGCATGGCATGGAGGGACCCTACGGAGCTCTGTGCAGGTCACTAGTCCTCAACTGAACAACTCTCCAGGGGTCTTTAGGTTGCTTTGAAGTCACATAATTGAAAAACAAACCCAGAATGAACTGAAAGTGACAACAACCACAGCCAGAACAGGCAGGAGGCACAAGGAGAATGCCAGGGACAGAGGGAGCTGCAGTCTCCTTGGGACAGCAGGGGCATAAGGAGAAGGGAATGTTCCGAGCGACTGCAGGAGCTACAGTGTCTAGAGGGGAGCTTAGTCACAAATGCACAGAGAGTCACCCCGTCAACCCTTGTCAGGCTCAGCCCCAAAGCCAGGGGCATTACCATGCCAGTGACTTCCCCAGCATAGCTGTCTTACAGTGTGCCACAGCCAAGTGCCAGCACTAGCCCAAACCCCAAAGAAAACCCAGAGCACTCGCTTGCCATTGCCAATGTCTGGCTTGGCAATATGAAAAACGCCCATCACCAGTTTAACAGCAGAGGGAAAACGGGGGGTACGTACTCGGGATGTGCCTCGGTTGAGTCGGCAGAGCTGGTCAAAAGCTTGGATTTGCTGAGGATCCAACACAGACTCTGAACTCATCTGAGAAAGAGAAGAAATTTACAGAAACCATGCAGAGCAGGCTGCCACACATAGAAATTAATTCCTTGGCCGGGAGCAGTCAGTTCACAACCTGTTTAGGAGGTCTTTTTAGCCATTTTTCCCTTGGCATGAAGCCACTATGGGCACTCCAGGTTTGGGGGGAAAAAAATTAGTCCTGTTCTTGCCCAAAGAACAGTTACACCCCTGCATCCACAGTGAGTTATTGCTGGGCTCTGTCCCAGATGGCTCAGACTGACAGTACTGGGATACCTCTGAGGAAGGATAAAAGGCATGGGAAAACTCACTGACAGCCAGCTGGGAAGAGAAGTAATGGACCCCTGTGACCAAGCAGCCTCTCCAGGCTCCCTCCCAGGTGGCAGCACCAGCTTCCCCCAGCCCTGTCCCTGTGCCGGCCCCGCCCGGCCCGACCCTGCGGCACAGGAACACGACGAGGGGACACGGGCTGTGTGTGCCTGCAACCCCATGACTCTGCCATGACTATTAACCACTGCTGGTGTCCTACAACGGCATCATGAGGTCCTGGCTCTCGTCCTCTAGTGGGGTGTTACAGACTGAAAGCTGGGAAATGAGGGGTGGAAAGGAGGAGGCAAGGTGAGCCTTACAGCAGTGGCAGCCACGTCTCCAAGGCCATGGCCCTGCCCAGCCGTGGGATACAAGGCCAAGTGTCCCCCAGCAGTGAGGGGGAGGGCAGAGAGGGCCCAGAGCTGCAAGAGCACTAAGGCAGAGAGGACTGCACACACTCAAACTGCTGTAAATGGCACCATTTACACATCCCAGGGAGAGATGACAAAGCATCACAGATTCTTGCAGGTTTGTTCCATTTATCACACCACAGTGTTTCTATTTTGAATGTTTCTGCTCATATTGCAAAGCAAAAGCATCATCAAGAAACCCCAACAGGAGCCAGGAGAACAGCCTCCCTCATGAGCAGCAGGCTGGCATCTGTTGTCTCTGGGGATCTATTTTTAAGGGAACATTCAAATAATTTTCTGCAAAATACATTTCCCAGGGGCTTCTAACCAAAAATGCTACAATCCTGCCAGTGGGTACTGACTGAAGCCGCTTAGTTTTAAGCTCTTTGGCAATGGGAAATGCACTGAGCCCCTCGTGGGTTTCCTGAAGCCTGGATAGTTCTGAGACCATCCCAAAAACCATGCACCTCTTGCCTTTGATCAGTCTGGGAAGAGAGGAATGTCCTGAGTGCAGACTGCTTATGCTGGAAACACTTGCCAAACTCTCTCCTTCTCCAGGATATTCTTTGTACTGTAAATAACTATTTGCCAGTCAGAGAGTCAGATGTCCCCATTCCCTGCACACCTGGCATAGGCTTTGAGCCTGGGAGCCTGAGACAGGGAGGGTCAGGGACACAGAGCCAGCAGGTTGTACCAGTGCTTCCAAAGGACACACAGGTCATCCTCACTTGGGAAACACAAAAAGCAAGGGAAAAGTGCCCTCCACAGTCGCTGTGGCCACAAGCATTCAAGGACAAGGAAAATGCAATATAATTGGCCTCCCCTCTCCTGCTCTCTCCCTACCACGCGTACGTAACTATCAATCAGGCTGTTCCCAGGCTGATGAGCTGAAATATTGCAGGCAATTCTTTCTGTTGTCATGGAAACAACTGCTGGCAGGCCTTTTCCTTTTTCAACCGTGTCACTAAAGGCATGTTTCCCTTCTGGAGCCACGGGAGGCTCCTGGGGTCCAGCAGCAGCACTCGGGTGTCAGTGGAAGGTGCTGGGCTCACCCCACAGCACAGCCTCTGTCTGCAGGGCTGGCCAGCTCCGACATGGACCCTTCAGCACCTCCAACCCATTTCCAGCCACATCCCCACACCCCCTCAGAAAGGCCTCAAATGAGACACAGAACCCCAGAGAGGCAAGTTATCTCCTGAGGATCTCGGCCAGGAGGAAGGAAAAAGGCTTTTTTCATTTTCCAGTTCTCCTAGATCCCACCCCTAATGCATGTTTTTCTTGCACATATTCCACCCTCTCTGGTAGTCACCACACAGCCCTCCCAAGCTTGCAATTATCTTTAATTTAACAGCTACAAATTCCATCGTCAGCCAGTGCTTCAGCAAAGCAGATCCCAACAGTTTGAGTGGAGGCACACAGTCACACCAAGAGAGCCATCCCAGAACTGCCCCTCAGCCATTCCT